CGATGCTGCTTTGATCGTGGTGCTCTTGTTTTTCTTCTTAAGGTAGATGGTTAGGTTATTGATTTCAGATATTTCTTGTTTTTTAACGTAGGTATTTACAACTCTGTATTTCCCTCTGAGCACTGCTTTGTCTGTAACCCATAAATTCTTATATGTTGTGTTTTCGTTTTCATTTATCTCAAAGTATTTTCCAATTTCTTGTGATTTCTTTTTGACCTATTGGTCATTTAGGAGTGTGTTGTTTAGTTTCCACATATTTGTGAATTTTTCAAATTTCCTTCCAGTATTGATTCCTAATTTTGTTCTTTTGTGGTAAGAACATACTTTGTACAATTCCAATCCTTTTAAATTTATTAAGACTTGTTTTGTTGCCTAATATATGGTCTATACTGGATACTTGTCCATGTGTATCTGCTGTCATTGGGTGGAACGTTCTGCAGGTGGATGTTAGGCATCATTGTTGTATGGTGTTGGAAGTTTTCTACTCTTTGCTGACCTTCTATCTAGCTGTTCTATCTGTTACTGACACTGGATATTGAAGTCTCCAACTACTATTTTGAATTGTCTATTTTTCTCTTTAGTTCTGTCAGTTTTGCTTTGTGTATTTTGGAACTCTGTTGTTATAATTATAATTGATATATCTTTCGATAGATTTTCTATTTTATCATTATAAAATGTCCTTATTTGTCTCTAGTAACAATTGTTGTCTTAGAGTCTGTTTTGTCTGGTATTAGTACAGCCACTCCAGCTCTCTTTAGGTTATTGTTTGCATGGAATACCTTTTTCCATACCTTTACTTTCAATTTATTTGTGTCTTTGAATCTCAAGTGTGTCTGTTTTAGTCATCATATCGTTAGATCATGTTTCTTATCCATTATTCCATTCTTCGCCTTTTAATTGGAAAGTTGATCCATTCACAAATATGCCTTCTCCATTGGAGATAACAAGAGTAGAGCACTTATTTTACCTTACGCCCATAGAGCATGAGCTATTACCCATTTCACTCCTTGACAAATCATCTTACAGAAAACTTCCAAACAATTGTCATGTAACCTTGTTCCTCACATTCTCACTAGGTCTCAGCTTCCTCGTCTGTGAAATAAGACAGACTTTTACTATTCTTTTGACAGCCAACATGCAAATGACACAGTGCACCCTGTCCAGGGGAAGCCTGAGTCCAGACTTCTCCTAGTGGTTCCATAACAGAGTAGAGTTGAGAGACTAAAAAGTGCATCTTTTCCACATTGGGTAAAATAATGGTAATAGTGATGAGACTTCATTTTTCTTTAAGCCCAAAATAGTTTGAGATATCATCTAGTGACCTCAGGTTGCTTCTAATATCCCCCCGCAACATTTGTGCCCAGAGAATCAGTCAGAAACCTGAGACTGGATTCCACCACCTTCCTTCATCTTCACCCCACTCCTGTGAGTCACAAACATCTGTCAATTCTACTTGCCGAATATATATCCTCCCACCTTCCTTCCCCTGCCTAATTTCTGCCTTTCTTGTTTCTCAGATCCTAACTTCTCACATCCTTTCTTCCCGTCCCTCTGCCCTCTCCATGTGCCAAATAATGTGTTGTCACAGCACCAAATAAACTTTCTAAAATGGCCTTCACCATCACTAGCCTGACACTTAAATATACCCCTGAAACTCCAGAATCCTTGGCTTCTCTCCCAAGGCCTTTGTGACTAAACACATTCCCACCTCTGGGCTCACTGCTTCTCCCTTCTCCGCAGGCAGACGTGCCACCGTATCTAGATAGACAGACTTTACTGCAGTTTCCCCCAGACAGCGGCGCCTGACTAGCCTCTCTGTCTCAGAAGTTCTTCCGCCATTGCACGAACTCCTTAACAGAACTTTAACCAAAGTATGAAAATCTCCTCACATATTTTTAAGGTTACATTTAACTTTTTCACACAAATATATAATTTCTTCTGTATTATAAATACTGGCATTTTAAAATAAAACCCTTAGATCTCTTTAGATTTTATGCAATAGAAGGTAAATACCACAGCAGTTTAAAATCCACCATTATCCATTAAAAAAAATACACGAACAACAACAAAATAACAAGAGCACTTTAACAGTCAGAAATCTGACCACTTCTTTCCTCTCTTTGAACACAGTTCCATGCCACTCCCATCACTGAAGTTTATCCCAATGTCATAGAATTCTACGTTGAACATCCTTTATTCTCATCCCCATAAAAAGTCTTCAGCAGACACAAGCTTACAAACTGAGGTTGTCTTGCTTCATATGACCAAAAGGCTCTAGGTGTTTCAAATTTTTTTCTGGGTTGAGTGATCATTAAAATTACTATTGATACATAATTGATCGATTCAAGATAATAGAGTAGAAATTCTGGTAAATTATTATATATAAAAAGTGAGCTGTATTGGGGAGTGCTTCACTTAAGGAGATGATCTTGGAGTTGTTGCTCTGCTTCCTGAGGAGCCATCCCCATATCTGTCCCCTTGATCAGGAAGGGTACAGAAGGGGCAGCATGACTGGTCCAGCCGTCCAGAGGGCATTTGAGTCCCTCTCTCTGTGTTTCACATCAATACAAATCCACTTACTGGGGGTCCTATAAGATGTCTTTTCAGCTGGGGCCTCACCATGAATGGACATCACTTGTCTCTAGACTTGAGCAGGACAGATTGCACACCAAGTTTGTTCCTACCTTTTGTTTTTCGTGTTTTTGTTTTATGCTTCTAAACACTGAGAAATTTTATTCACATCTGAGAGTAAGCAAGGATTTTGTTACACCAACATCATTCAGTTCTTAGGACTCTTTCTGAATTATAGCGATTAGATCTCTCTCTGATTTTTTTGAAAGCAAGGAATTGGAAACCACTCACCTTAGAAGGGGATTTGTTACCCAGTCGTTGAAATCGTCATTGCTCAGTCTCTGGGAATCTACCCAAAGGCCCGTTCACAACTCACAGAGGACCATCAGATTGGCCAGTCCCACGCTCATTCAGAGGCGCTTGAAAGAGAAAAAGTTGGATCGTATTTTATCGTATGTTTTAGGTACAGTTTTGTTAAGAGCCTGAGGCTGAGGCTTAGCCATCCCAAATGATGGAGATGCCACCGATGGTATGCTTAGAAAGCCAGGCATTACAGTGGCAGTGGGCTCAAGCCAATTGCCAGATGGGACTTCCCACCAGGTGGATGCATACGCCATTTCTTAACGCAAACAAACGTGTGAATAAATGTTTCAAGAAACAGTATAAAATCTCTGAGAAATAAATTGTGAAATGCATCTTATAAGAAAAATTACTAAAAATAGTCAAGATTAAAATGATAATATCTAATAAGAGATTAATGCCCAAAATATACGGAGAACTCCTAAAACTCAGCAACAACAAAGAAACCCAATTCAAAAATGGGCAAAGGACCTGAACAGACATTTCTCCAAAAGAGATATACAAAGCCCAATAAGCACATGAAAAGATGCTCAACATCACTAATCATCAGGAAATCAGGTAAAATCAAAACTGCGATGAGATACCACCTCAGGCGTCCTAGGATGGCTGCTATCAAAAAACAGAAAACAGTAAGTGTTGGTGAGGATGTGGAGAAACTGGAACCAACAGTTCCAGTTTTGGTCGGAATGCAAAATGGACAGCCACTGTAGAAAACAGTATAGAGTTTCCTCAAAAATTTAAAAGTAGAATTACCATATGATCCAGCAATTCCACTTCTGGATATATGCCCAGAAGAACTGAAGCAGAGTCTTTAGGAAATAGCTGTACACCCATGCTTCCAGCAGCGTCATTCACAATAGCTAAAACCACAGAAGCAAAGCAAGTGTCCACTGACAGAGGAATTGATAAGCAAAATGTGGTCTATGCACACAACGGAGTATTATTCAGCCATCAAAAGGAAGGAAACTCTGCAATATGTTACAACATGGATGAAACTCAGGGACGTTATAGTAAGTGAAATAGATAGTCATAAAAAGACAAATACTGTATGATTCCTCTTAGATAAGGTACTTAGAGCAGTGGAATTCATAGAGACAGAAAGTAGAATGATAGTGGCCAGGAGCTGGGAGGAATGGGGCGTTACTGTTTAATAGATATAGAGGTTCAGTTTTATAATATGCAACAGTTTTGGAGATGGATGGTGCTGAGAGCCCACGACAATGTGAATGTGCTTAATGTCACGGAACTATTTTCTCAAAAGTGTTTAAAAGGTAGTAAATTTTATGTTACGTATATTTTACCACAATAAAAAACTAATCCATATTTTTAAAAATTATAATGTATATTTTAAAAGTGTATTAAAAAACAAAGAATGTTGAAAAACGAATAAAATTAAGTCATATATTATAAGAGACTGTAAAAACAAGATAAGTCTAAATGCTGTTTCTCATTGAATTTGCTATAAGGCAATATCTTATGTAGGAAAAATTAGTATTTATATAATAAAATATATGATAAAAGCCATGACAATAATTAAGAATCATCTATTAAAATCATAAATAGCCTCATCGACTTTGTGAGACATAATGATCAAAGTTTCTATTTATATTTAAGAAAAAAGATGGTAAAAGTGCTAAAAAACTAAGGGTATGGTGGTTGCATATAATTTTATTTTTTGTTAATGAAAATAAGAAAGTCATAAATATTTGCTTTGACAAAGATGAAGATTGACTATAATTTGAATAAATATTTCACTTCATGATTTGATAAAATGGATTTTAACTTCCTTTGGAATAAGGCACACGAAATTTTAAACAGCAAATTTTAGCTTGTATGTCTTGAAAAAAATGTTGATCCCTCCCAAAATTCAGATTACATTTAAACCATAATCTTTATTAAGCTATAAGAAATACTGCTCTGGCTGTTCAGAAATACCTTTTTCTTTCTGGCCAAATGACACACCAGATGACAAGATCACCCAAGATCAGCGAGAAATCTGTTACCATCAAATTCGTGGGAAAAACTGACTTCCGTGTTTCTTAGTGACGTTCTCTGCTTTGCTCCCACAGGACTCCCACCGGGAGCGCTGCCGTCTCTGGCTGGAGTCTGAGGCACCGTCATGAAAGGAGGAGTTCACCGACCCCTTGGCTCCACTCTATGACATTTCTGGATTCCGATCATCCGAAACTTCGCCCCAACAGCGAAGGTTTAAGGCAGGGAGAAGCCCTCCAGGGCGTGAGGTCCCCACATCCACCTGCAGTCCTCCAGCGTCCTGCAGCCGGCACAGGGAGGATGAGCGGCATGTAGGCACCGTTAATGGGAAATGAGACAGGGAACCTGCATGTCTCCTGATCTGACCTGGGAGGCAGGCGTGAGGGTCTGGAAACCTACCCTATGTTGCCCAGGACCCCTGGGAATTTTCTGTGCCCCAGGGCTTAGGTGCCCAGGGGAAAATCACATCTCTGGCTTGTTTCCAAATTAACGTTGAGTCCACGTTTCCCTCCGGGCAGTGACTGTCCCAACACCTACACAGGACCCAGCCAACATTCAAGAACTCTGCGCTGAGTTGATATGTGTCAAACAGGTTGCACTTGCTAAGAAGCCCCACACGGCCGTGGGCAGAGGTCTGGGCTTGGGGCCGAAGTCGCCTCAGCCCTTGGGAAGAAAGGGAGACGTGCCCTAGCTGGCAAGACAAGCTCTGAGCCCACAAACAGAACCTCTGGTCTCCAGGCCGCAGGTCCCCCTGGGGAGACCAGGTGACATCCCCCTCCTCCCGGAAAGCTGCCCACAGGTCAGTGCCCTGGAAACCCTCTTACCACCAGCAGCAGGCTCCAAGCCTAAGCTGAACTTTTCTAGCAAATCGCTCACAGACTCCCGTCTGCACGGGTGTTTGCTATTCCTTAATTGAATAATTAGATATGATTAATAACCTCGTGTGTTAGCATAATCCTAACATTATAGGTGTCAGGAGGATATAAGTTAATTAGAGGTTAACATTTTTGGCTCTGAATCAGATGCTCAAGCTGTATGCTCTGCTCCCGCCAGCTGGGGAAGCACGAGCTGCACTCATTCGATTAAGATTGCTGTGTTTGTAGGGTCTGGAAAGGCAGATAAGGAAATTTACGCTTGTCTGTCCGCACTTACTGAAGACCTACCTCATCGGTATCCCCATGGCTACACGCTAGCCCCTGTGGGGACTGGGAAACGGGTCAGGTGCAGGCCTGACTTTATGCCCACAGCCAGGAAGGCGAAAGAAGGCCTGTTGGCAGGTCCCTGTGGCAGGAAGCGAGGGGTGATGAGGGCTGAGCTGCTCCAGATTCAGAGGGCATGTGGCGCTTTTTGATAAAGACCCTTTAATAAACTACTAAGTATGATTTTTTTAAAATCTATAACTTGCTAAGACTATTTTTGTAATGAAATTTTCAGGTCAGGAAAAGAAACTCTGTCAAGACCTTAATCAGGATTTCAGACTTAGAAAATATGGCTCTTGAGGTGATAAATGATACACAATGTGGGAACTGAAATGAAGGTGAGGTTGCCCCTGCTTGAAGATGTTAGAACTCTTTTGACTGCAAGCAAGGCAACCCCAATTGAAGTCAGTTTAAACAAAAAGAAAGAAAAAAAAGGCATTATTGACACATAGCATTGAAAACTCCAGAAGTGGATATCAGACATGGCTGCATCCAGGAACCCAGTGTCATCAGGGAGTCCTTTTTGTCTTTTCTTTTTTTAGGGGGAAAGAGTTATGATTCCTCATGTAATGGCATCTTTCTCAGCGAGGCCTTCCCCATGTATGGTAAAATGGCCAAGTTTAACCTCTTGCCAGCTTAGCTACTCCAGTAATAACAACAATGGCAATGATGCTAATGCAGCTAACATTTATTGAGCACTCACTATGTGTTAGGCAGCAATTTAAGAGTTTCATATGTATTGACTTGCTTAATTATTCAATAGCCTGGAAGGGTAGATACTATAATTATCACTCATTTAACAGGTGAGAAAACTAAGGCACAGAGAAGTTCAGCAATTGCCCAAGATAATTCAGCTAGGAAGTAGAAAGCAAGTCAAAGAGAAAGCCTCTTTCCCAGCAGTTCCAGCAAAAGTTCCAGGATCTGTCACCCTGGCCGAGGGCTGAGCGCAGGGGAGGGGCGACTCCAAAAGAAATGTCAGGCACTGTTGCCAGCAGACAGGCAAGGGGAAGCTGGGTGGCTCCACAGAGGGTCCAGGGCAGACTCCACGAGGGAGGGAGTTTTCAAGCTGAGGATTGTGATATAAACAAAATTAGAGTGGAGAAGACGGGGAAAATCCTCAGGGGGAGATGGCGGCGTGGGTAGAGACCAGAGGCATGGAGCAGGCAGGATCATGTCCGTGCTATTCAGTTTGTAACACAGGTGATGGCAGAGCAGTGACAAAGCACAGTGGTTGTGCCGATCCATGAGGACATTTGGTGAGCCTTCCCCATGCCAGGCAGGGCTGAGTGGTGCGCACCCGATCGCATCCCATCTTCCCGAGGGAAGGTGAGGAAACTGAGGCCAGAAGGGGTTAAGGGGGTCTCAGCTTGGGTTTCCCCAAAAGCAGTGCCTGAGACAAGTTCTTCGGGAGGCAACCCCGTGGAGCCTCTGGAAAGCAAGGAAGGGGAGCCAGGGGGCACTCTCACACCGCTGCGTGATTGCAGCCGCGGCCAGTGGGGCTCCGCCGCTGGGAGCCGCGAGAGACTGGGAGGCTGACATCGGAACTTGCACCCCAAGGCACCAGGGCCTTCACTCCCGTTGGTTCTGGGCCTGCCTGCGCACACCAGGGTGAGAGAGCATCTTCAGGCAGACAGGCCCAGGAGCTGTTGGCTTCCAGAACAACAGCACAGAGGTCACTTCCAGAGGGCGCTGAGGGGATACCAGCAGGCTGTCCGTAGCATGCTGATGCTGGGAAAAGACTGAAAATGTGCACTAGGATGGCCACACAGACAGCTAACCATCCCGGACCAGTCTGGTCACCAGGGATACTGACCTCAATCATGCGAGGCTGTGGGGGCCCAGCTTCAGATGAAGCCATGACCTACATGGACCTACCCCACTTGGCAGCCATGCTGTGGTGGCAACCCGCATAGAAAGTGGAGGAAGACTGGCACAGATGTTAGCTCAGGGCTAATCTTCCTCAGCAAAAAAATAAATAAATGAAACCCACCTCTCAGGCCATTGCTCAGATCTGAGGCTCATCTCAAAGAAGGCAGTGCTTGCCCTGCTCCCTGCATCCAGGGGTGGGAAGGAGTGCTCCCCCTGCCTCCACATACTGGGCGCCCTTAAACGCAGAGTCCTGTCTCCACCTCAGGCCCAGGGAATGTGGAGTTTAAAGCATGCGGGTCAGGCTCCGACACAGCCTTTGTCTTGGAGGGCCCCAAGGCAGAAAACAGAGGTGCCTAAAGGAATCTGAAGACAAGAGTCTGTCTGCAAGGATCATCTCAAGATTTTCTCACACTAATATGGGAAGGGTTTTATTTTTTTAAAGATTTTGTTTTTCCTTTTTCTCCCAAAGCCCCCAGTACATAGTTGTGTATTTTTAGTTGTGGGTCCTTCTAGTTGTGACATGTGCGATGCCACCTCAACGTGGCCTGATGAGCAGTGCCATGTCCGCACCCAGGATCCAAACCTGCGAAACCCTGGGCCTCCGCGGCAGAGTTCGCAAACTTAACCACTCAGCCACGGGGTCGGCCCCAGGACGGTTTTTAAAATCGGTTTTAAAATTGCTGATTAGTCATCCAATTAAAAATGATGATCTGAATACATAGTTTATCTCTGCTCCTTCCCCAAGGTCCAGTAAGTGATATAAAGAGAATCAAATATATATAATCTCAGCGCTACAGGAGAAATGTGGAGAAACTGGCTGAAGAAAGCAATCTGCAGACATAGAGGCTGGGGCCCCAGGAGACAGCCCCGCTCGCCCGCCTCAGGAGGCCACACGCAAGCCGCACTGTTCTTCAGAGCTTCGCCTCAGGAAGGAGAAAGGAGAGCCAAGAGTCACCAGCTGTCTGAGGAAAGCCACCAACGTGAATTCAGAGACTAATAATTAGATGAATAAATAATAACTTTCAAGTATTTAAAATGAGCTGCATGAAAGGTCATTATATTTCATAACTTAAGTATAAAAAGAGATCTTAAAAGTTTCAAAGAAGAAAAGAAACCCCAGTCCGCACAGAAGATCAGCCATTTAAATGTCATTAGAATGTCAGCAGCCCCTCCAGAAGGCCAGAGAGCAAAAAGCAAGGACTTGGGAAACCACAGGGAAAATTATATCTAATCTAGAATTCCGCCTCACAGAAATGACTAAAACGTTATCAAAGAAGACTGAAAACATAGGTGACACGCAAAGGCTCAGAACACTAGCTTCCTAGATGGCCTAAGTTACCGCAGCGTAACCTCCAGGAAAATGAGGGCGTAAAGCAAGAAAGAGGAAGAACTGAGAGGCAGGGAACACACAACACACGTGGAAGCGAGGGAAGGCCAGCAGACGAGGCCTGTCCTGGGTCCTGAGCTCGTCTAACCATGGAAGCAAGCGACAGAGGCTCTTTACGCGGAGCTGGCTGGATAGCGCTGACGACACTGAACTCTGCCTGAGCCCTGTGCTCCTGGAAAAGAGCAAAGGTTAAGAAATTCTCCCCCATCCTTTATGATCGGGAAAGGGCTTACTACAAAGGACCATCCTCCCCGTACGACTTGGAGAAGACTCACGCGTGCCCCCTGGTTACCTACAACAAGGCCCTACACAGACCATCCGGATTCCCGGCTTTGCCTCACCAATGATTCGATGAACTGTTTGGTACCTACGAAGCAATCAGAGCAAAATTCTGGTTAACCAAACTTAGGTGAAGCGTCTCCTCTTCCCAAGGCCAGGAGCACTGGCCCGCCCGTGACGCGAGCCGGCACACAGCCCCTCCTCGCTGGGCCCTCCTGAGACGAGGTGGACGGACTTCAGGTAAAACCTTCTGCCATCTGGTCACATCATGCCACCTCTGCCCCTTCACCCCACTCTCCCCAGCTGGGTTCTTTCTAGCCTTGTTGACTCCTCCCCATTAAAGGAAAACCTTTTTCACCTGACCTTTCAGACGCTGGCAGACCCCATAGTTAGCATAGTCCCCCTATCACAGCGGCAGGAGTCCCACACCGTCCTCCCCTGGAAATAATCATTTTGGATAAAATCTCTCCTCTCCACAGCTAGGAGTTTGACCACTTGCATTTGGCAGAGACTCAAAGGCAGACAGGAGAGAAGGGAAGCTTTATGGGGAAAAAAAAAAAACGTAAAAAAAGAAAAAGCGGGCAATTTCAGATATGGATGGATTGGAAGTTTTGGCATTTAGGAGAGCTGGCCACCTAGAAGTGGAGCATCTTGTGTGGCCTTTTCAGCCTTCTCTGCTAGTCCTGCATTGAAAGCAGAGACGAGAGGCAGGGACGCTGGCAGTCATGCACCACGTTCTGACTTCCTGGGCGGCTGATGGCAGAGGCTCTGGCCTGGCTTCCTGGGATGGAGGCTAAGAACGTGAGTCCGCACTCTGTTGTCACTAACGGTCTGACCATTGTCCATTTGACCCCTTCGGGTCATCTCTCGCTGGCAGGTGGTTGGCCAGTTCAGGGAAGTCTTGAGATCCAGAGCTGCACGGCTCAGGGGTGCTGAGTTGTCGCCATAGGTAGTCAAATTTCCAGACTTTTGTGACCTTCTGGTTGCTGTGTCATCACGGCCATCATCCCATGAGAGGGTGACTGTGCAGAAGCAGTGAATACTCAAGACATGACGCAATCGATAAGCTTTGCGACTACTATAACAAAAAATAGAACAATTAGTGGTCCCTCTAAGATGCTTGAGAACCAG